CGAAATGCGAGGTTTCTTTTTTGAGATGAGTGCAGAGCTTGGATCAGTGCGAAACAAATTCAATTGTGAATCAGTTGCAAAGTCGAGTTAGTTAAAACATGGGAAAATACCTCAAGGTGTTTGCCATTTCAATGATATTTATATCAGCTCTAAATTCTATGTCAATGGCATCTCCGGTAAGTATTGGCATATACATTATAAATAAATATAAATATAAAACTCTCATCTGTGCTCCCGAAGGCTAAGAATGAAACACAAGCGCCGACCACAAAATATCTACAGACAATAATCGAGTTAAAAGATAAACAACTGGCTGAACAATCAGAACTTCTGGAGATGTTAGGAGGATCTGACTGCCAAAGAAATTCGATTGCATCTATACTTAGATTGCCCCACACTGAGCCTATCCTCGCGCCCTGCGACTCTAAGATAGCGGGACCTGGTTGGATCGTGATTCAGCGTCGAATTGATGGAACTGAAAGCTTCAATCTCAACTGGGAGGAATACAAAAAAGGATTTGGGGACATAAAAGGCGAATATTTTATCGGATTGGAGGATATGTATTTAATTACGCAATCGCAGCCGCATGAGTTATATATTCACTTGGAGGACTTTAATAATGAAACCCGCTATGCCCGCTACAGCAATTTCCTTATTGGAAGCGAAGAAGAGTCGTACAAGCTACTACAACTTGGAAATTATTCAGGCAATGCTAGCAATATCATGCAATATCATATCAACAATGCCTTGCCTAAAAGGTAACACGAAGCAAAAAATACCTGAATCTAATTTTGATATTGTTTTTTTGATAATTTCAGTAATATATATTCACTAGAAGATCTTGGGAAAAATAATGATGGTGAACGGCATTTAAAATCGGTTAAGTTCACACAAAGCATGATTCGGGCAAAGTCGTATTAAAATACTTATACTTCAACTTGAATGTTTTCATGTAAAGTTCTACATTATCTTTCGTTTCAATAAAGAAATATCTATGCATGCATCCATTTCGATATTTGGTTATAAATTAAAATTGATGTACTAGGCAGAAGTTGGAATTAATAATCGTACGAATTTATTGCATACTTGACTCTCCATCAGGTTATTTATTCCATTTGAAAAAGAAAAGGAAATAACATCAAATAGACTTTAGGCTTGTCATCGCCTGGTACGATGGTACCTGTGGGAATTTGAAAATTGTTAGTTTGCGAATGCAGCGCAATGCACACACAAAATTGTGGAGGATATCAATAAACATTGAAATACTTATGAATCTAGGCAAATAATTCATGCTGTTGGCTGCCCCAGTAGCCAAACTGCGAACTGGTTCCCCAAGCACCAAATGTGGCACATTTTTCATTTCAACACGAGCAATATTGCATTTTTAAATACGTGCGGCAAATGGAATGGGCGGGTGGGCGCATAGTGGAATAGTGGAATAGTGGAATTGGGGAATAGGGGAAAGCAAATGGTTTTCACTAATAAATAAAAAGAGGGAAAATAATAAATATGCAACATACACAAAAGCAACAACAACAGCAACAACAACATCGAGACCAGAAAATATTTAAAAAAGCTTTTAAGTGTTATTGATAGTTGAGCGTTGAGTTCTCTGTAGTCCCACCCACGCCTCTCGCTTCGGCCGCTACTCCCCCTTCTCTACTCAGTCAGCAGCCTTCACGGTGCTCGTATGGCACTCCCTCCCTCTCGCTCTGCACAAGTATTTTGTTTCATTTCCCTGGTTTTTGCAAACGCTTTTGTATTTGTTTCTTTCTTCTGTTTTTTTTTTTTTTGTTGGTGGATCTATGCGAAGCTGTTCCTTCGCGCTGCATTTTCCCGTGAAAGTGGCTCAGGGGGAGGGGTAATGGGAGCATGCTGGTAGTCGTGGGGCAGCGCTTCCGGTTATTTAAATGCTACAAATACAAATTGTTGGGCGTTTGCCGGACAGCACTCAACAGTTGTTTGGTTTGGTTCGGTTCGGTTCGGTTCGCTTCAGTTCGAACTGTGCGGCATCGCCCTCCACATTTTATCTTGTGCCAGAAACGGTTTTTGCATATTTGGGTTATATTTCAATTGTTGCTAGCGGTTTGCCTTTCAGCATTTGAAGTTGCGACGTTGAGCACTATCGATTGCTTGCCAAGATAGGGATTAGTGCAAGTTGTTGAGTTGATTTCTTGAAGAACTTTAATTGAGCAGAATGTGGATTAAGAACGAATTATTCAATAAATAATTGCAAATTTAAAAAAATAAAAATTAAAATTTAAAAAATATTTTAATATATAATAAATATATTGTTGTGGCTAATAAAATGCAATTTTGTGTAATATATGAAATATAAAATAATACGTTATTAATATTCATACATTTTAAATAAATATATATATATATTAAAAATAAAAAATAAAAAAGTATCATTAAAAATTAAATAGATTAATTAATCAAATATGTGCAAAAATATTAATTTTTGACAAAAATCGCAAATTAAATTTCTACATCAATAAAAAATGCATGACAATATATTGTATACATACATAAAAAAGAGAAAATTATAAAGTTATATACTCATTATTTAATATGAGATTATCTTTCCATATATTAAAAACATATTCTATTCGCTTATTTAATAATTTGATTAAAATTAAAAAATATAGCAGCAAATATACGTATATATTAAATATATATTTAATTCTATTTATTAAATTGAAAATTTTAACGTTTTACTACAAGTATATTTCAAGTGAAACTATACTTTTGCCTTTACAATTTTTGCCTGTAGTGAATGTTAATCAATTTTAATCTATATTTCTTTCTACAGTAATTCACTTTAATTTTGTATATAATCCAATTGTATTTTCAATTAAATTTTCTATGTTTAATATACAATAGATTTTTGAGGTCATTCAGAATTCGTCTATACTTGAAGCGCATCTGCACTGAAACTTATGCCATTTTGTTAATCCATAGACAAGCACTTGGTGAACAGCATGGATGGCATTCAGAACACGCTTTCACGCCATATCTGTAAAAGTCCGGACAAAACCCCACGATGAGTGCATATTTTGTGTGCTCGATACTCGACAGAATTTATCGTTCCATTTCGTTTCGTTGTTCTTGCTGTTGTTGTTGTTGCTGCACTGCATTGTATATTTATTTGTACAGTTTTGGTATTTTGTTTTGCACACATTGTGGTCCATTGTTTTTATCAACATGCCGTCGGAAGCGCCAGCCAGGCAACAGCTAGCCTGCTGGACACCACCAGCAACGGAATACAAATAAAGAATGCAAAATAAAATTATTCAATAGATGCAATATGGTCACGTTTTCTCACAATGGACAAACACAAACCCGATTAGAGGGCAGCTCGAGAGATGGGGCCCAAGATGAAATGGGCGCACCAGAAAACTGCATTTGTTAGGCTTAAAAGCTTACAGAAACCTTTGAAATTAAGCTGTAGAAAAAAAATGGAGTGGAACTGCGGGCATACGTATAAATATATTTTCATTAAAATATGATTTATTTATGAATATCAAATGAAAATAGATCAGTATTAATTTGGTATCTCTAATTCTTTATATACTAAGAATATTATGAATTAAAATAAAGATTTCACTTAATAATACCTCCGAGTTTTTGTGGCTAACAGAAAATGAGCTTTGCTTTCAGAGAAAACTGAATAAATCTAAGCACATGCATATGTAGGTACTGAATATATGCTAATCAAATCTCTCTGCAATGTAGTCTGCTCTGAAGAGTTGCCTCGCATGTGCAGCATAATTCCTACAAGAATTTCCAGCTGCCTTTGAGTCAGTGAACTAGCAGCATCTGCCCAAAAAAGCGGAAAAGAAAAAAACAAAAACACAACTGAAGAAGGGAAACGAAAACTTTCGACCCACTTGCATGTTTAAGCTAGCGATGCGAGTCCTTCAATTATGCATAGCTCGCTGCTGCACTGGGTCGCTGCTGGGTGCGTGATTGTGGCTAGAGATTTTCATAATGCCACGTCAACACGAGACACCCAGGAGAGGGGTGAGAGAGAGAGACAGAGAGAGAGAGCGAGGGATAAAGCGGCGCGTGCCACGACAACAACAACAACAACAACAACAAGTGTCAAGAATGTTGTGGCATAAAAGAAATGCGTAGCATACTTTAAGGCGCTTAAATGCTCAGCACCACCAACAGCGACGGCAGCAGCAGCCAGTCACATTTGCGCCATAAATAAAGTGGCATATGCGGCATGAAGTATTGCGGCACGACAGACACTAATGCAGTTGCAGTTGCAGTTGCAGTTGCAGAGTAACTCTGAGCAGAGTCGTCTTCGTCGTCGTCTTCGTTCTTTGCGCGTGTGGCAAGATAAATCTCAACAAGTTTTTATGCATTTTGTGCAACTCCTTCAAAGAACTTCTTTTTCTTGTGGCATGACAAAAGTCGACAACATAAGCCAACCAGCGCTGGCTGACTTTTTCCACACTGCCAAGTCAAGCAAATGCGCTAAAAAGTGCTGCAACTTAATGTGCTGCTTTAAATACAGGCATAAACATATATATGTAACTATACTTATGCATATACATATGTATGTTTATATGTGTATGTGAGATTTGGATATCTCACCGAATCCGCTTGTCTTTTTTTGATTAGCATCTGTATGCGTGTCTGTGCGTATGCGTGATGCATTACGTTCAACGGGCTCATTTAACAGACAAACAAACATCGAGCATACGCCATGTTGACCCCATTTTTATCAGCAAAGTGTTTTCACTGCATTGCTTTGCTTTTTGTGCGACTGTTTTTGTTTTTCCCTTACCTCTTTTCCATTTTCTATTTTTCTTTTTTTTTTTTTTTGCCTTGTTTTGCTTTTTTCTCTTTGTTTTTTTGCTTTGGGTATTGCAACTTGTGTCGCATGCCGCCTGCTGCCGTTGCTCTCTGTGTGCGTGTGCGTTTGCTTTTCGGCGTTTTTATAATGCCTTTCGGTCATGCTTTGTAATGCAAGCCAATATAGAGTGCAATGTAAATGTGTGTGTGTGTGTGTGTGTGTGCGCGTGTGTGTGTGGCAGCATATGCGGGCTACTTAGTCGCCTGTCGCTTCTTGTTTATGTTCGAAACGGAATACGTTAAGCGCTCTTTCGCTTGCTCTTAAGCATCAACTGGAAGTTTCCAGTGTTCATTTAAGAGAGACATGAGCATCGAAAACTGAATTCACTCTTGAATATATTCGAATGCTTTTAACGGTTACTTGGACTTTTGAACTCGTAATTTTGTTTCGTAGTTTATTATTCAATCAACTCTTTATGTCAAAAAAAAAAAAAAAAAAAAAAAAAAAAAAATTTTTAAAAAAAAATAAAAAAAAAAAAAAAAAAAAAAAACAAAAAAAAAATTAAATAATAAAATATATAAATAAATACAGTTTTTATATATTCCTTTACGCCTATTTATTAACT